CCACAGCTGGCCTCCACACCCCAGTGCCACCTGCCACAGCTGGCCTCTGCACCCCAGTGTCACCTGCCACAGCTGGCCTCCGCACCCCAGTGTCACCTGCCACAGCTGGCCTCCGCACCCCAGTGCCACCTGCCACAGCTGGCCTCCGCACCCCAGTGTGCATCTACCTCTGTTTTTTGTCTGTTCTATCCATCCCAGGTCTGGTTTACTCCACTAGGACTTTCCCGGCCTCACACTTGATGCTCTCGGTCAGTGGGTCTCAGTCATCCTGAGGGCTGCTATGGATCTTTCAGGCATAGGAAGGAACCTCCTTTTACTCTAGTCATGGCAGGGGCATGGACTGATTAGACCCCACTGGCAGGTGTGAGTCATGACTCCTGGTCACCTCTCTGCCCCTCCATTCATCAGCTACAATGCTTCCTACACTCTGAAGTAGGAAGAAGCTCCCTAACTCTGGAACCTGGCTCCCTTCTCTGCTTCTTAGCATGCAGGGAGAGGAGGGGACAGAGGGAAGAAGCCAGCTGACTTATTTACATGGCTCTTCCTCTGAAATGATCTTGGGGCATTTTCTTATTTAATTATTAATGCCCTGGTGGTGCCTGATATGTTAACCTCTGTCACTCCAAATGGAGTCACCTAATAACCATGGTGGCAGGATTGATTTTCCCTTGGTCATCTCATAAGCATATGCCTTTGGTCTTCACACTCCCGAGAGCTCCCAGGAAGTCCCACTAAAGTGACTGGGGAGGAGATGCCCTCACACACTGACAGCTTCTTTCTGGCCGCTTTTCTGTCTTCCTAATTGAAGTGTCAGAGACAGGGTGATACAGTTGTTTGAGAGTCAGTCTGTGAAACGGAGGTGTAGGGCTCTCCACCCCACTGCTGGTTGCTTACAACATGTCAGAAAGATAAAGGAAGCATGCTGGAAAGATGGCAGGGTAGGCAGAGTGACCACACTGGAGCATGCATAGGACCTTGGCTGTCACTGTCTGGGACTCAAAAGGGATGTTTTCAATGGTGTTGACCTTTGTCAAGCTCTGCTGGGTAGTAGATGCTACTTGACTGGGCAGAGTTGAAGGCAAAGGACAGACTGAAGGGAGAGATGGAGCCTAGGCTGATAAGAAAGGGTAGTGTGTGTGTGTGTGTGTGTGTGTGTGTGCATGCACATGGGTTCCTATATCCATATGTGTACAGAGGCCAGAAGAGGACACCAGGCATTCTTCTGACTCATTCTCCACCTTATCCTCTTGGTTCAGAGTCTCTCACTGAGCCCAGAGTTAAACTGGCAGCCAGCAAGCCTCAGCGATCCTCTGTCTCTGCCCCCTCACTGAGGTGTGCACACAGTCACACCCAGCGCTGAGATACAAACTCGGGTTCTCATGCTTCTGAAGCAAGTGCTCTTAGTCACTGAGCTGTCTCAGCATCTTCTTGATTGATTGACTGACCTACTGGTTGGCTGATTTCAGTGTTGGAAGGGACCTCAGGGCCTTGTACACACTGCAACTGCTGTAGTATTGAGTCACATCCACAGCCCAGGATACATCTCAGACTTGACCAGCTTACAGGAAAGATTCTGAATGGCAGAGGTTCTGAGAGGCTTTGTCATCCCCCCTCCCCAACCCCCGGTAATGTTGGGCATCCTCCTCTCTCTCACCATATCTCCCTCCTCACACAAGAACTGGGCATGGCCCTCGATAAAGACTTGGTATTTTAGGCCTCAGGCTGTCAGTCTAAACACCATTCCCACCCCATCCATCTCCTCTTCTAGAGCGCTCATTCAGACAACCGCCCCCTCTCTGGGATGGTCAGTCTCCAGTGATTCCTGTCGATAAGAAGTAAACTGTACCGTTCAGACCGGACTCAACAAGAAAAGCTTGAGTTAAGACTTTTGTTGTTGTTTTTTGTTGTTGTTGCTGCTGCTGTTTTTTTTTTGTTTTGTTTTGTTTTTTTTTCTTTTTCTTTTTTTTTTTTTTTTGCAAGACAGGGGTTCTCTGTGTAGCTGTGGCTGTCCTGGAACATTCTCTGAGATCTACCTGATTCTGCCTCCCAAGCCATGGTTTAAAGACATGTGCCACCATACCTGGCTTAGTGACTACTTCTAAAGAGCTTGCCCATGACGGCTACGATCCAGGTAGTCAATCCTCTAGTTATCATTGGTCCTTTGATTTTTCAAAGCCTACTAAATGTAAAGGTACCATCACGGGCCACATAGGAAACAGGGACAATACTTTCTGCATTCAAGCATTACCTGCCTTCCTAAGTTCTGTGTGTATCATTCCTTCCTTCCAGAGATACTTAGCCATCCCAGACCCCCATAAAGAAGATGTTCATGTCTCTCCTGTTTCTCCAACTCTCTCCAACACTGGGTACCCTTTTTAGTCTACTTGAATCTCCTAGTAGAAAACGAAGTGATTGAGTGGATAGCTGACAATGGCTGCAGCCCTCATGCTATGCTATGTGGACTCCAGGTTGTGTGTGACGGTTGCTGGGTCTCTGCTGCTAAACTTGGGAGGAGAGGGGGTGGGACCAGGAGAGTAGCTTCATTTCTTGGGACTTGCCAATTTAGAGAGGGGCAACGGAGTCGCCTTTCCTTCCCCCGAGGGATCTGTAGATACCTTGATCTCCAGCTAAATCTGCACTTAGCTGGGCAATTTCCAGAATGTATGTAGGAAGTACAGCCTTATTAGTCATTAATTTAGACCCCATGGTTACACAGAATTTGTGATGATTTGCTTGTTGGCTGAGGGAGCTGCTTAAGAAAGAGTTTAACCAGGAAATGAGGGAGGTGGGGATCAAGCAGTTAAGCTTCTAGGGGAAAGGGACCCCATGGAGGACTGGATCTCGAGATGTGTGGAAATACGGGCCATTCCATTTGTCCTCCAAGAAGGGTAAATGGCCCTCATCTAAAATCTTAGGGCCTGTGGGCTAGGTACCCAACCCAAATCTGAGGACTGATTTCCAATGTCAAAATGTTTTCCTCAGCCCTGCTTAATGGAAAGTGTATTTCTTTTAGTGTCAATAGTTGAAAAAGAAAAGCTACTCTGGATTCATTAAAACCTTTAAATAAATCCCAACAGCACCTCTTCCATGAGTCATGGCATTGGGTCATCTCACAAAGGACTCATGAGGTCCAGCTCCACAGGAAGTGTCCTCACTGCTCTGTGTCCCCGTGGTGGGGACATTTAGACTAGAAGCTGTTCTCTAAGGCTGTAGTGTAGGGTCATAAGGTCTTGGAGAGTAAGATCAGTGGGCACCAGCCACCCTCACGTGGCTCAGTCTCCACCCTCCTTAAGCAGCTGTGTGTTGTGGCTCTCTCATTTAGGGAGCAAGGTAGTTGGCACTGTGTATCTGGACTAAAAACTTGACATAACAATGGTATTTCAGGAGCCTTGATAACCTGGGCATGGTGCTTCCTTAAAGCCCCGTATCTGACTGTCTCTGCTTGTCATCTCAGAATGGGAGTGGTATTTGGTGACCCCAGGACACTGATATCCTGTAGGAGGAAAGAAGCAAGGGCTCAGAGTTCCAGGTGGCTGGTGCCCAGAGTGCTTTAGTAAGGCTGTCTCCTCAGTTCCCTGTGGGCTACACAGTCTGCTTCTCTTCCTTGGCATAGGAGGATTAGGAGGTGATGGGATGACCCAGCCTTACCAGAGAAGAGGAGGAGGGAGAGGGAAGAGCGTTGACTCTACCATGGCCAGATCTGGGTTTCTGTATCAAGGGTAGATTTTGTGGATGGGGGGGGGGATGCTCAGAATTCTGTGAAACGTTAGCCAATGCATTGCATGTGGGCCTCTTCCTGGAGAGATCTCACATCCGTGACTCAGACTCTTCAGTGACTCAGAGCTGTTGCCGTGTTACTCAACGCTGTAAGTGTGAAGTATCCAGTGCTCATTGCTGTTTGGCAGCTGTGGGAAACCCGGTCTGTTTAGCGCCCATTCCTTCACTTTGAGGGAGGACCAAGTCTTAGCACCAAACAGATGCCACAACCAAAGTCTGAGTAAGCCCCTGTCTTCTCTGTTTTCCCACACAGGGCCTGATGGCGCTGTCTGCAGAGGGCCTCCTGGTTGTCTTCCTTCTGCAAGCTGCTCTCGCTCTGAACCCTGAGGACCCCAATGTGTGTAGCCACTGGGAGAGGTAAGAGAATGCAGAGCCGCCACTCCCTGGAGGGCTGGTTTTGGGTGTGTCACTGTAGAGAATTACGGGAGCCAGGAGAGGAAGTAGCTGGCTGTGAAGATCCTGATGCCTGGGAAGGTGAGGCAGGACAGGGTAGCTCAAACTCAAGAATAGGATAAAACAGTGTGGATTCCTGAGAGGCAGGACCATGGGGCCATGTTGACTATAGGTGACAGTGTCCTGTTGGGCTGTCTTTCCCTTCCTCCTTTGTACCCCCACTAGAGACTTTTGTCATTCCTATGACAAGATATCTAAGAAATACAACTTAAGAGAGGAAGGGTTATTTCTACCTACAACACCAGGGTACAATGCATCAGAGTAAGAGAAGGACAGTTGAAGGAGTGTGAGGCAGCTGGTCACCACGTAGGAAGCAGAGAAACGACTGTGGTCATTTCCCTTTCTTCTTTCTGTTCCATCCAACACCAGTCGGTGGGATGAAGTTGCCCACCCTCCTTAGGCAGAGTCTTCTAACCCCTGTCAACCCAGTCTAGAAATCTCCCATAGGGTGACTCTAGATCTGGTCAAGTTGACCGTCAATTTCAAATATCTCATACCCATTTACAGATGAGGGAGTAGAGGCCTGAGGAGTTCTACCCTGTCTACAGCCTGAGTGGTGGCGAGGGTGAGGAGGCATACATTGTGGTCATAGATGTCTTGATCTTGGACTCTTGGGATGTCTGTCATGGTCTCCACGGACTGGCCAGAATGGAAGAGTGGATGGGTGGCCTGCCTTAGGGAGAATGGGAAGGCCTCATCTGCTTTTGGTCTGATAAGGCAGGAGGCTAGCTCTGACAAGGTGGCTGGAGCACAGCAGAGAGCCTACCTCAAACTGACTGCAGCAACAAGTTCTAGAGTCTAGGCTAGGTCTCTGCAGATGGTCTGACTTTGAAACACAAGGTTAAAGTATTGATTTTGGTGAGCAGAAAGACAATGACCAGAGACCCAATCAGGAAAAACTGAATTAAACCCTGGAATTGATTGGCCATGCTGACCAGGATGACTCTGCCACTTAGACACTAATAAATCAAATGAATGAAATTAAGATGAAGACCCAATGGAGTGAGTGGGTGGTGGAGGAGGAAAAGTAAGATGAGCCCTTGAGGATGGATGGTCAGCCCCTGGGCAGAGAGAAACATCTCACTGAGGCAGTGCACAGGGGTAGCCTAAACACTCGTGGGCCAAGAAGAATGACTGGATGCAGAGGGATGGTGCTTGTTCCAGTGTGTTGTCTGGTGACTGGATATCCCATGTGAAGCTGTGGTGACATCAAAGCTAAAGCAGAGAGTATTTCCGTGGTGCCCTGGGAGGCAGGTAAAAGATCTGTGAAGACTTCAGGGCACTCCTGACTTCTCTGTTTGCTAGCTGTGCTTCTTGGGGGAGCCTCTGAACTCTGAGACCAAGGCCAGCTCGGTCCAGCAAGAAAAATAAACATCCTCGCAAGCTTGTGAGAGGAACAGGGCACAAGGTTCACAAGAGTGCTTTGTAATCGTCGTCTTCTTACTGGCAACTCCAGCTCAGGGGTTAGTATCAACTCAGGTGCACACTAAACTCACTACGGGTGTGTGAATGCAGGCTTGGCAGCCCAGCCCAGAGACTCAGAATCAGTCTTACATATTTTATATCTTCCCTTTTCTCCTGGCTGGTGAATCTACTCCTCTGTTTCCCAGTGTTCAGGGAGGTTCTCTGATAGAACTCCTCAGTAGTCTCTTATTTGGGGCCTCCTTCTTCAGATAAACCTGTCCATCATCCACCCAGGTAAGACTGATGTGGTAGCCAGGTTCGAGGGTTCCCACTACATCCCTGGCCATCTGTGTCTTCCAAAGCTCTGGTCTGGGTTGCTCTCTGTTACAGAGAGCCATTCCTTATGAAAGGACCCATAACGAATCTATCTAAACTTGAAACCAACCTCTACTTGTCTCTCCTGGTCAATGCAAATGAGGTTGAAATGTGAAACTATCTGGAACCAGTTGACTCTTCGGTGGCTGCGGCTTTCAGCTCAGGTCACAGCCTGCATGAGAGAACAGGGAGCCACCCAGCAGAGAAGTCCAGGTCTTTCCCCTCTACCCCTGAGAAGGGGCCATCTGTGATACCTGTGTCCAGCAATATGCTTCCTTCTTGCAACTTCCAGCCAAGCTTCCCTGATACTGTGTTTACATGTATCTAGCCTGTGCCATTCCAGAAACACATCCTGGTCCCCAGAGAGCACTCGGGGATACTTTCCCAGCTGGATAGCACCTCTGGGTGAGCTCCTAGTTGGTTATATCCCCTACCACAAAAACCAGGGTAGAACCCCTGCCCCCGCACCCCCCCTCCACCGCTGGTAAAGCCTGGAGCTACAAGATGGATCAGCACTCATTAGCATGTTGGCAAATAAGCAGTATTAAACTACCCAGCTGTGGAAGCAGGGCACGAACTTCAGGTTGGAGACTGGGCATCAGTACAAGGCCCTCTAGCTGGACTCACTCAGCCTAAGGATCCTGCAAAGCTAGGTCCAACCCCATGACATCAATAACCCCTACCTTTGGGGCTGGTTCCTTTGCCGAAGTCAGTACTTGAATAGGAAGCTGAGGTCACGAACGCGCAACAAAGGTGGGGCATTTATTCTGTAGCAGGACTCGCTCCCTGCCCCATTATGGTAAGAACGGTCCATGCTCTAGCACAGGGGGAAAACCATTGCCTGTCATACTGATGAAGGTTAGCGTCTATTAAGCACTGACTATGTTCTCGGTAAGCTTTTTAAGTGTTATTTTTCCTTTCACCCTGAGAGGCGTATACTACTGTCATTGTCTGTTGACTCTCACGGTAATCCAAGACATTCTTCATATACGTCATAGATTTTCAATTGAGGACACAGAGGCTTATGGGAGTTCAACGGCATGTTTAAGAACACATCGGTGAGTGATAGGCTCCACACAGGCCCCCAGGCCCAGGCTCTGGTTCATTTATCTCCCTTCCAAGGGACAGCCTTGGAAAGTGCTGTAGTGTTGTGGAATTTCAACTGAAGTCCTGCGGGTAAGCAGGGATGGGTGCTGACCTGCCTGTTTCCAATGGTCTGGTGATGAACAGGGCATTTGGGCCATGTCTGCAGATACTTTCATGTCTGGGGCACATCTCCCAGGTACAGACATTGAGAGTCATCTTTATCATCCTCAGTGTCAGTCAGAACTCCCGCTTTCCTGGGTCTCTGAGCACTGCCAACCATTCCTGTCCTCCTTGCAGGACTCCAGACCTTTACCCCTGCAGGCATCAGGGAGCAGACTGTGGCCCCACAGCACGCAGCCCCCTTGCAAATGAACCAACAGTTTCCTCAGGCAAAGCAGATGGGCTTTTACAGCCTGGGCCCGGCCATCTGGCCCAGGTCAGTGAGCCTTCTGGGGAAAACATGGAACACCAGCCTACGCGACAATTAATTCCTGACACGCTCTCTAGCCTGCCCAGGCGGTGAGCGCCACGCATCAGCAGCCAGGCATCAGTAGTACCGTTTCATGTCACCTGGCCAGGGTGACAAAGCAAAAGCCTGCTTTGGTAAAGCCCAGAACAGCTTTCCTGTGGCTTTCACCTGCTGGTCTAGGTTATAGGTAATAAGCAGGATGACAATGACCTGCTTCCGTTGGGAGGTTTGGAGACTCATGCTCTATGAAGCCCAAGCTATGCTAGAGATAGAATAGACCAGAAGGTCATTGGAAGGACTGGGGAAGTTAGGCTGTAAGATGTTCTTTCCTTATCTGCAAAGTGAGATTAATTCTTCTCCCTGCTTTATAAGATTGTCTGGGAACAGTCAGCTGGCCCGGTGTTGGCCTAGAAAGCATGAGGGCTGGGTTTGATCACCCAGAACCCATAGTAAACAAAGAAGCTGGACACAGGATGAGTGTTTGTAACCCTAGAGTGAGGAGAACAGAGACAGGTAGATCCCTGAGACTCACTGTGGCCATCTTTGACAAGTTCCCAGCCAATAAGAGTCCCTGTCTCATAAAGCAAGGTGGCAGGCATCTGAAGGACAGCAGTCAGGTTATCCTCAGGCCTCCACATGCATGCACACAAGCAAGTACACCTGTATACACATGTACCCCTGTACACAAACACACACAGAGGAATGAGACTCAAAGGGATTAAAGGGCTTAACAAAGGGGCATCAGTTAATATTAGCAGCTGTTGATAGCAGCAAGCTGCCTCTCCCAAACTCAGTTTCTTCATGTATGTAAAAGGGCAACTTATTCTGAGTTGCTTTAAAGACCCTCCCCCATACATACTAAAAATCATAATGGCCAGGCATGGTTGCACACACTTTTAATCCCAGTACTTGAGAGGCAGAGGCAGGTGAATCTCTGTGAGTTCAAGGCTAACCTGGTCTACAGAATGAGTTCTAGGACAGCCAGGGTTACATAAAGATACCCTGTCTCGAAAAACAAAACAAGCTGGGCAGTGGCGGCACACGCCTTTAATCCCAGCACTTGGGAGGCAGAGGCAGGCGGATTTCTGAGTTCAAGAGTTCGAGCCCAGCCTGGTCTACAGAGTGAGTTCCAGGACAGCCAGGGCTACACAGAGAAACCCTGTCTCGAAAAACAAAACAAAAAACCAAAAAAACCAAAAAAAAACCAAAAAACAAAAAAAAGAAAGAGAAAGAAAAACAAAACAAAAAACCATTAAGGATCTGAATAAACATATCATTGCTATTATTTTAGAGACAGGATCTTGTATATTGCCTGCTCTTGAGCCCCCGGGCTCAATAAATCTTCCAGTCTCCATGTCTAAAACTATATGGCATGTACCAATATACCTGGATGATACAAAATATTTTTGACTTGTTGAATCTGCCTTCTAGAATCACACGGAGTAAGCCAAACCTTCCTCTACTTCCTATCTGATAAGTAAAGTAGAGTTTAAGAAAAGTATCTGGGTCAGATGTTGGTAAGGATATAGTCTAGCTTCTTTTCCTATTATAGTATATAATGTTCAGAGAGAAGCTCACAACCCACCATGGTGGGGGAGTCACAGCCAGAGCCGATCACATCCTACCCACAGTCAGGAGGCAGAAGACAATTATTGCACGCTGCTGTTCAGCTCACTCTCTCCATTTTATATTGTTCAGGATCTGAGCCTAGGGAATGGTGCCGCCCACAGTGGTCAGGACTTCCCCTTCAATTAACTTGATCGAGAAACTGTGTGCCCTACATATGTGCTCAGAGGCACATCCTCTAGATAATTTCTAGACTCGGTCAGGTTGATAGTTAACTCTAAGCAGCCCAGATATGGCCTAGGGTTATAGCTGAGATCTGGGAGCTGGGAGGGGAGGTCAGAGCTGGATCCTAGTCTTTGGGATTGTGGGCTTGGCAAATCTGAGAAGGGAGGTGTGTCCTGGTATGGGCTTGGCCTTTGCTGACCATGGCTTCCATCTCTTGTCTGGTCCTCAGCTATGCCGTGACTGTGCAGGAGTCTTATGCACATCCCTTCGATCAGATCTACTACACTCGATGCGCGGACATCCTCAACTGGTTCAAGTGTACCCGGCACCGGTAAGCACTCCCCAGAGGACTGGGTGGAGGATAAGTGCCTGACTCTCTAGTTTGTTATTGAGAGACCTATGGAGCAGGTGTTGTGTGCCCTGTCCATACTGCATGCCTGGAACTCTCGAAAGCTGGTGGTGTGAGACACTGTTAGCTGCTTTCTTCTGGTTGGAAATGGTGGACTTCATGACCTATGGACATGAAACCCTCAACAAACAACACGGAAAGCTGGTGGATGAGCACCCAAACCTCCTTATCAAGAGGGGAGCACACAGCTCTGAGGCATTTCTAGTCACTCCCTCATTGATCTTAGTGGATAGAGCCTGAGTTGTGCAGAATAGTCACCCACTTAGTAGTAACCCTGTACCCACTGCTCCACACTCCCTTCTGACCTCTCTCAGTTTTGTCCGAGTTGCTGGCCTGTGGCCATAGCCAGAGGCAGAGGCAGCAGCTGGCACTGGTCTTGCCCTAGTCCCTTGTATTCTTGAGCCAGAACTGAGTTTGTTCCCAAGTGTGGCTCCATTGTCTTGGGAGGCTACATAGCCTTCCATTACCCTGGAGCTGGGTGAGTGAGAGACTACTTATTAAAATAGGCTGTGTTCCTGGAACGTGAGTAATTTTGCTAAATTATTGAGTCTCTGTGGAGCTTTCCTGATGACCCGGAGTGTGTATGCTGACAGCAGCACCATCCGTCTGTGGGCTGTAGTAGCTTGGTCCAGCATCCTCCCCAGGGCAGCCTGGCCCCAGACCCTACCTGTCCAGCTCCTTTCTCTGGGAGCACACAAGGCTAGGGGAGTCAGGTCTCTCTCCTGTGAGGCATCAGCATGTAAGGTTTACCTCCTACTTGGGAGTCTTTCCGTGTAGAGCTACACACACACACACACACATACACACACACACACACACACACACGCCAAGGACTGCCTTCCTGTATGGGGGAAGTAGCTTCTTGTGAGGCCAGCTTACCCGTTACAGGCTTTTGACAAAGTAGAATGACCTTAGCTTAACACATTCCCAAATATCACAGATTTCCCATGAGGCCATCATTGTCGTTTGTCATGAGGTGAGAATTTTAAAGATTTGAGAGGGTTGTCCAGGCTGCGGCTGAAGGACTAGCCTCCCATCGCAGCCCAGGATTCTGTGTGAAGCCGGCTGAAGGGACTCTAGCCTTTCTATTCTCCACAGAGGAGGAGACAAGGGCAGCCCTGTGGTGTGTAGTGGGTCAGAAAGAGCTCTGCCTTCAGGGTCCTGGTAGTTTCTTTTCCTGTTTCTATTGACCATTTTGGATCTGCAGTAGTGCCAGCTTTCCTTATCAATGCCCCTTTGACTCCTCCTAAGGTCTCAGCCCTCACACCAGCCCCTCCTGCCTTACTCTTTCAGAGATGCTCTGAAAGGCCAGAAAGCCACCAGAGAAAACTGGTACCAGGCATTAGGGTGGGTCCTGGTGGCTTTGCAATTTGAGTGATCTAGGTTTGAATCCTGTTTCTGGCAGTCCTGTTCTTGGGATAGTGTATTTTTTTTATTAGCCGATATGAATTATACAAAATAACTGGTCTTATTATGACATTTTCATATAGGAGTCTAATATACCTTGATCATAGTCCCCCCACCTCTCATTTTCCCTTCCTGTCTGACCCTGACATTTATTAGCTGTGTGACCGAAAGCAAGTCATTAACCTCTCTGAGTATCAATTTCTCATCCATAAAGCAGTGGGCGGTGGGTGGAGGGGAACATAAAATAAGAATGGAAGCTCTAAAAGACAAATGAAAGAAATGGGATTAACGGAGCGTGATAGCGGGGCGTGACGATGGCCCGGACTCAGGAGGCTACTGAGAGAATCTTGCCTATAGATTTCTGGCCCAGACCCAAGTCTCAAAAATTCTGTCTTCGTAAGCACTAGAACCCAAGTCTTTCTCCGGCTCTCAGAGCCCAACAAGACTCTAGCTTCTTCCTCTGCAGCGCTAGGGAACAGCACGCCCTCTGCAGGAGGTCTGAGGAAGTTCATATGGAAAACACAATCTGACCCAAGGCTTCTTGAGGCCTTTCAGACTCAGGGATCAGACCAACACCCAGGCATAGGTGGCAGTTGGCACCACAGCTGCCAGAGCTACACTCTTATCCAGGTCTCTAGGGTTGCCCTGAGTCCAGGACCTGGTGTTTCTAAGAACCTTAGAGGATGCCCACCCCTGTGGCCTTCTACAATGTCATCCCAGCAGCCTTCTCGGCAGCCCTCGTATCTGGGAAAGATTGGGAAGTCAGCAGGTTTCCCCAGCACCGCTTGGGTAATACATTCTGCACCACGGCGGCCTGCATCCCACCATCGATTTTTCTTTATTGCGTTCTTTCATATTCGAAGCCGCCATGCATTTTAAAGTAATTATTGAATGGCATCCTCGATAGAGCTTAACACAAATATCATTCTAAACGGGATGGATTGATTTTCAATCCTTTTCAAGTGGCTCTCTCCCTCGTGCCTAGGATCAGCTATAAGACCGCGTATAGGCGCGGCCTCCGGACCATGTACCGGCGGAGGTCCCAGTGCTGCCCTGGCTACTACGAGAACGGAGACTTCTGCATTCGTAAGTAGGGGCCGTTGTGGAGGTGCGGGGGGCAGTGGAGGGAGCCCTTCAGCCCACCCCAGAGCTTTGGAAATCCTTGCATGCTATCAGTACTTAGAAGGGACTCTGAGCTTGGTGCAAAAAAAAAAAATGGTTTTGGCCTCAAATCAACCAACCTCCCAACCATCACCAGGGCAGATGGAAGGAGATAGTTCTAGATCCTGAAGGGAGTATGGGAGAAGTGGATCCTTCTGAAATGGACCCTGTGAAGGAGAGAAGGAATTCCAAGTGCCTGGTGCGGGGCTGAGCTGTCTGGATGCATGAAAGAACTTCGCTAGGGGGTGGAGATGATGGATGGGAGGGTGGAGGGGTGGAGGGATGGAAACAGGAGAGAGAGGAGGGAAGGCAGGGAGATTGCATAGCTGGATAGCCAAATCACAGCTCCTATGAGGGGGGTAGCCTGAGTAGGTAGGAACATGAGGAGTGGCCCCGGGAGGTAGAGGGACTACTGAAGAGAGAGATTCATGAAGGATAAACATCACGTTTTCCTTGTTTGATTATAGCAGCTCAGAGGACAGAAGGAATAGTGTTAGCAGAAAATCAGAGCTGAATTGCTGATGGTCACAGGTTCCCAGATAGGAGACACCCAGGTGTGAGGGCTCTGGCTCCAGCTCGCTGGCCATGTGGCTCTGGGATGATGACCATGAGGGTCTCTTAGAGCCACATTTGACCAGTGGAATGGATATGATGGACTCTCCAGGAAGATAGTTGGATATTTTCTCAACCGGAGGGGGTCATGAGAACTGGGAAGTCCTCTACTGACAAAGTTCCTGTCCTGCACTCAGAGAGTGATGAACCTCGTTAGGGTTCTCCTCACCTAGAAAGAGCTTTGGGCGGGTGAGCCTGCTGGAGCCCGGAATGGCCTGATGGTTCCTCTCCTGGGGTTACATCGCCACTCATGCTGGAGAAACTCAATTCTAATCGCCCTACAGGATGAGGGGAAGATGCTCCCACAAGTCAGCGTGATAGTGATGGTACTCCAGGAGAAACACAAAGAAAGAGCATACTAACCAGATCCCTGAGGGGTTTTCCAGGGCTGAGGGCCAAACTAGGGATGAGGCCTTGCCTGGGGCCCCAACTCTGAAGGGTTGCTATGGGGTATGCTGGCAGAGGTGAGATCAGCATTGAAGACCACTGCTCTGCTCACACAGAGGAGAGCCAGCCAGGCACAACGAGAAGTCAGCCAGCCCACCAGGGCGATATGTCTGTGATGCTGTAGTGCAAGCCTGGGTTTGACACTTGCTCTGACTTCTTCCTTCATTGCCTCAGGGTCCAGCATCCAAGACGTGCTGGGTACTATTCTGTGTTCCATTCATTGTCCAACAGCAGCCCTGTGAGAAAGATGTCATTGTGCCTTTCATTCTGCAGATAGGGAAACTGAGTCACAGAGGATGTTAGTAATCTGGTCACAATCACACAGTGAGGAAGTGGCAGGATACGGTCATGAGTCCAGGCTGTCTGGCTCCGAGGGCTGTGTACTCAAGCAGCTTAGGCAGACCTACTTGCTTCATGAACCCATTACGAGACTTTACTTCTTAACCTCAGTTTGCAAACCTATAAAATGGGGCTGGCATGAGCTGCATCCCCAGACACAGGGCATTTGCAGATGTTGGTTCCCTTCTCTGTGGCTTTGGTTCTTCCCCATTTTGTTTTTCCAGTCGTGACTTTGACTTTAACCGTTCAAGGGGGTCTGTAAACATTTCCCTGGGAGTGTACACTGTGCATGTTAGTCAGGGTTCTCTGGAGGAACAGAGCTAATAGAATGAACGTGTATTAAGAGAGGATTTATTACATTGGGTTGCATAATATAGTCCCAGTAGTCTGACAATGGCCGTCTCATACCAGAGAGGTTGAGAACCCAGTAGTTGCTCAGTCCAGGAAGCTGGTGTCTCAACAGTCTCAATCCATTGCTGAAGACTGGAGGATTCCTGAAGAGCTGCGTCTAGTCCATGTTAGAAGCCCAAAGAAGCTAGTTCTGTCAGCACAGGAATCAGCAGTAGCTGTGACAGGGGCTGTGAACTCACCAGCAAGAGAGAGCCAAGCCAAGCAACAAAGCAAAGCTTTCTCTCTCTCTTTGTCTTTGTCTGTCTCTCTCTCTCTCTCTCTCTCTCTCTCTCTCTCTCTCTCTCTCTCT